AAGGTTGCACTCAGGTTGTACTTTGTGAAAAGTAAAATCTTTCTCTTCATGCTTCATTGAATGGTTTGAGTTTCCAGATTTTGTGTCACAACTCTGAGTCAACTGAGCTATCTGGATTTTTTCCTTAAATAGTATCTTAAACAGAAGATAACAGAGAATGAACGCAGCAAGAACTTCTATGGGAAGTAAGAAGCAGGAAGAAACTGTAGCCTATTTGCTTGACAACACTATTTCTTGAGAATTATAAAGGCCATGAAAAAATATTTTAAAAACCCTTTGATGGGTCTTTAACTATGGAGCCTCCTTTGTGCAAGCTCTTAATATAATTTTAAGTAGCTGTAGAAAACTTACGAAGTTGTCAGTTGTCTTAATGCATAAAAATAAGTATGATATCAGCATGCAATTAGTTTCACTATATGGTAAAAAGCTTTTCTGAGACTCTGAATTAATTTTAAAGCAGATAAATGTTTTAGTTTTAAACAAGTGTCATCTGGAAAAGTTTTAAAGGTTTTTTTTCCTTTTCTTTTTTTTCCCTATCAAAATGTAAATTCCAGAAAATAAGCTTGACAATCATATTCAAAAATAGCAAGGTACTGTATTTGACTTGTTTCAGAAAGAATAAGAAACAGATGATGAAACATTGTAACTTTGAACTTATTTTTAGTTTGCTGATGGAAGAATGTTGAGAGACTAGTCAGAAATTGTAGCAATCAGCTATTTTTACAGGATTCTTGTATCTGACATTCTCTCAACTCACGGCGTAAGTGTCATCTCTAGGTGTTTTCACCTGCATGAGTTCACACAGGTAGCTTCTTCACAGACAGTCTCACAAGTCCATCAGGAATGCATATATGAGGACATCACTTCATAGTACACAAAGTATTTTTCTATGCCTGATGTAGGAGTGATTTTTTTGCAAGTTGATGGGTGCTGTTCAAGAATACTTAGCTAACATCAGTTCCCAGATTTTAGCCAACTGAGAGCCTCTCAGCTCAATCTTACAATCTGTTTTACAGTTTATGACTTAATTGGAACTTAACCAGATGAAGTTATATGGCTATCAAGTCTATTAGTACTGTTTTGTCTGAAGATCTTGGAGGGTGATGACATAAATGTAGTCATAAGCCAAAGACAGGGTGAAAAGATTTACCTCTTTGGCTTACCAGGCAAACCAAGTTTGATCCCCTGGGCAGAGTTGTGTCTCCACCAAGCAGGACTCCACAATCAATTCATACCAAACAAAGGAAGAGGCGCTCTACCAGCCAGTATACTGGTGGCTCCAAAATTTAAGCTTTAGCTCCTAAATAAGGAAGCCAAGGACACTTCTGAGAAGTTGAGTTTTTCAAATCTCTGTTAAGTGAAGTTCAGTGTTTGGGATTTCTTTTAGAGTTTTTGTCTCACTCATTTGTATTAGCCAGGAGAAATCCCCTACTTAATTTTATAGTGTGGAAATGGGGATGTGATTTTTTGCTCACACATTTAGGCACCTACATCTTTTAAGACTCTGTGAAGAAGCAGCCCAAAAAGAAGTGTGTTACAACCCTCAATGCTGTCACATAAAATAACTGTGCCCAGGAATCCTGGGAGACCTCAAACTGTCACTGATATTTCAAAGAAAATCAGATCTGCTTATTGAAGTCATTAAAGCATAAATCAAAAGCAGTCTGTTGAGGCATGGATGGGAAAAGAAAGTCACCAAGCACTTGATTCCTTTGATTCCAAGTAAAGGAGTTTAATTAGGAGAATAAAAATTTTTCTTGATTCTCATTGTTGTGTTGCAGCAAGTAGATAGTAATAGAGGTTTGCTATTAAGTTGTGTGCCATTGTCAAATATAATGTCTTAATTGAACTTCTCAGCCTGGGCTTGTAACCAGATAAAAACCAGTCTCTTTAGACTTCCCAGATCAGATATTTCTTTCTCCCTACTGTGGTCTAGCATTGCTACCTGAACAAAGGTAGTGACGTGGTCTTGCTGTTGTTGGGCAGCAGAACTTCTGAGAAGTTCAGTGGCATCAGCTGTTCAGAAAAAAAGTGTGAGGAGGTTCACCTGTGTCGTTCCCTCAAAAATGTTAATGTTTTTTAAACTGCAAAGATCACATGGTACAAGAGAGTCCTCTGTAATCAACCATAGTGGACAGCATGCTTATGTCATACCTGGCTGGGGTCTGCACACAGAAGGGTTGTGAAATAGGGCTGTGTTTTGACTCTACTTCCATTTATGGGGTTGGTTTATTTTCTGAATCTCATTTCCTAGTGTTTTCTAAAACCTTTAGTTGCAGTAAAAATAATGTATGTAATAAAGCTTCATGGAGGTTCTTGCATCTCCTCACAAGCTAGGCTGAGCCTAAATTACTGTTTCCCTCACAATTAAAGGGAGACCAAAACATGAATAATTTATTTCATAAACCATTTTAGTCTCAAGGTTCTGTAGGTGCATTTGATGTAGCTTGTATACATCCACAAAACAGGAATAACAGTGATTTGTTAACTGTCCTTGTCATGGTAATACCATGTTGCGACTAAAATGTTGTAGATGGAGCTATGAATGTCTCTTTGATGTCATTAGTAAACAAGGAAACAGAAGTCTCATAAATTTATTTTTGGCCTGGCTTGCTTTCCTTCTAAGCATACCTGTGTTTTTGTTTTTTAAACCTAGTGCTGATTTAATCTCTAAAAAGCACGTGGAAGCTAACTCAAAAGTTTGCATGTGGTTGTGTGTTGGATCCCAGCTTGAGCAGCCACTCTGACAGGTCTCTTGTTCACTCGTGTGGATCTCTGTGTTAGAGCACAACTGACATCCATTGGGCACAAATGCACAAAAATCAATAGTACTGTGCGTTCATTATAAGCTTTTTATGTAAAAGAGGAAATGATTTTGCTTTCCTCTTTCCAGTGTTATGTACAAAGAATGCCTGAAAGATTTGTTTCTAGAAAATACTTCTGAACAGTGCTTTTGAAGGCCAATATGCCTTCATACCTTTCTGGTCGATTCTGCCCATAGTCCTCCTATGGAACCACAAAGTTAGGGCTTCTGTCTTAGTTCTTTTGCAGATCTCCTGTATAGATTTGGACAAGTTATATTCCTCTATTTGTCTAATCATGCTAATGAGAATAATTAGGTATCCAGTACACACCAAAATGTGTACAATGCTGCGACACTGAAGGGGGAACACCTGGTAATTTAGTTAGGTTACTCTGTTAGGCAGTGACTCTTACTGCCTTTGAATAACAGGGGTATTCCAGGCTTCAGTCTGGTCAAATGTTTTGGTTTCTTTGGCATGGTGAAATCTTCTTTCATGACTCTACACTTTGTCTCCATTCAGCTTCCTCATACAGGGTATTTGGCTGAACTGCATGGCTGGTTTATGTGGCCTTTTCAGATCAAGACATCAACTGGTACCAAATTCTGTTGTTAGGTTTCTGTCTAATGTCAGTTTCTGTTCCAGCCAGAGTACATTTCAGCAAGCAAAGCAAGGTTTTAAATTTGAAATAAGCAAAAATGTAGACACTGGAGCCCGTATACATTCATTAACTATCAGTGACCTTACAATTTTACACCATAACACGTAAAAAGAAAAAGCGCTTTTGGTAAAATACATGGGAGGGGCAGGGGATAACCCCTGCTTAATAAAAATGTAAACTTCAGGAAAGAATAAAAGGTATCTCGTTAGAAAATCCTTTTGCCTGGCAAAATAAGGAACTTGTGAAAAGAAATTCAGTAATGCAAGGGCTCCTTAAACCATTTTCAAAGTTTTATCTTCTTCCTTCCTGCTTTACATATAGGCCTGTTTGTTTCTGTAAGCAGTGTATTATCCAGATATCCATTATATCTGTATAAGAAGTTGATAGTTTTTTGAGAAAGTGCTGTTTTACTTTACATGTATTTTCCATAGTAAAAATCTCCCTTTACTTTCCATACTTTTCTGTTAAAAATCTCTTGAGTTTTGTCCATTTCCACAACTAGGAAACTCTTAAAACCACAAAGCAGGATCAGTATGTTTCACAAGACTAGTAATCTTACCATTTACAGTTAGTTTACTGAAGTAATAGTAATCATGTGCTCCATGCTCTTGTTTTACCTTCCTTATAATTTAGATTTACCTTACACTGCAGTGGTAATTCATGGACAGTAAGGTTAGTGAATGAACTGGTAAGGAAATTTACTGAAAATGACCTAACAAAAGACTGTATGTTTAGGGTGAAGAAAAAGTACCTAATCAGACAAGTATGTGAGGTTCTGATGATCACAGGTATTCAATTAAAGCAAAAGAGTGAGTTACAGGGTTTATAAATTATGCAGTCAACTCTGAATGATTCAAAATACATCCCGTATTTTGTTCCTTGTTAGGTGTTTGCGAAGAAAGATAACATATACCTAACCCCAAACACCTACTCTAATGCAATATGTAGTGTATTTTTTAAGCTGATAAAACAGAAATCTCTGAGGAGGTAACAGCCTAGAGACCCAGCATATTTGGGGGGTCCCTGGAATAAGTAAGGACATAGATAATTTTTTCATGTATTTATTTATTTTCCATATGTATACTGAGTTTCTAATAATGGTTACTTTCTACGTTTAAGTTGAAAAATTTGTGTCATTATGAAAAATGCCTTATTAGTGACATATTAGAAGTGCATTTTCCCATTGTTTTGGCGGAGCAGAGGCACCTAAAAGTCTTATTTAATGTGCTTTCTTTAGGTTTCCCATGCTTTTTTACTATAATAAAAATACTAGACTTACCTAAATATATTGTTTTCAACATGACAAAGTTACATAAGAGAATCCCCTTGTACTTAAAGAAAAATGCAATTATTTTCTATTCTGAATCTCCAGACTGCTGTTTTAGAAAATCATATCTGATTATTTGCTCAGCAGAAGATTATTGAGTTGATTTAGCTGTGATTTTACTTAACAAAGCTTCAACTGAATTCCTACTGTGGAGTCCAAAAAAGGTAGAGAGATATAAATGATACATTCAAACTGTGATTTTTGTGAACAGGGCCATCAATGCACCCCTCGGAGCTAATAGCGGAGATGAGAAACAGTGGGTTTGCACTGAAACAAAATGTACTGGGGAGAAACTTGACCACAAATGATCCATCACAGGTAATGATCTTTTTACCAGTAAGCTGAAAATGTCTATAAATCTAAATGTGATTGCTTGTGAATTGCTACTTAATGTTTTCAAATATGCATATCCATAGGAAAGCTGAATAGCTGTACCAGTAGAAAAATGTCCAAAACTTACTGTTTTCCAGCTTTATTTTAGTCAGAATGGTGAATCATAAATTCCTTATTTTAAAACCACATATAATAAATTAAATCTCTCCTCTGCCTGACTAGAAATTGGATTTTTCATAAAGGGGATGGTTAGGGGTTTTGCCACTTACTTCTGATGTAATGCTAGCCTTTGGATGAAGTTTAAGGAAGTATGCACAAATAATTACTGCCAGGAATGCTGTATCTGAAGATTTTTTTACTTGTTTGACTATTGTTACATTTATTATTTCTGGGAGTGAATATGTTTAATTGTCTTTACTTAGACTGCACAGGCTATATTTCTAATTGAGGTGCTTTAATAAAAATATAAAGTGAAAAATTCATATACACTCTTTGAGCACCATGAAATAACCTTTGTTCATATGGCAGGATAGTCGAACCACTAGTAGAGAGGGGACAACAGCCCTCAGCTGTTGAAATCTTGAGAAAATCAACAATTCATTCTGTCTCCACAGATGAATTATACCTTTCCATTTAAAAAAGCTATGTACCCCAGAAAAATGTAGTGTACAGGCACTGTTAAATGTATTGCAGTGATATCAGTATGTTTGGTTTATGTTAGGTGTGGTGGGGTTTTTTTGGAAGAGCTTTTTAATCTTTATTTCCTCTTTCCCCTCCTGAGTGTGGCTAAAATTAAAAACATCACAGTGGAGAATTGTAGTGTACCAGATGCACATAATTTGAAGAATTCAGGGTCTTCAAAGTAGCTATGCTTTGCTGATTGCGTTACTGTATGTAGATTATATGATTACGGTATTTTGCATTGCTAGAACATTTTATGAACATTTAAAGACTAATAACACAACAGTGAGGTAGACGTGTTAATACCCATTTTCCTAATGACTAAACCGAGACAGAAAAGTAATTTGCTTAAATTACTCTGGGTTCGAGCAGGACTAGCATCTTACCTATTCATCCAAGCATGATAACAATGGAGTGACTTATCCTGGGGAATCATGTGGGCTCCAAAATTGGCTCATTTTTATTAACTATTTCAGAAATGTTTCTTTCCCTAGCAGTGATTTTTTCATATGTTACTAATAACTCCTGTTGTATAACCCCCACATTATAACACCTACTCAGCTTTGAGACAGAAGCGGGGAGGGAGTTCACTTTGCAGCGAGTTTGCTGCTCTTTCCAAAGAGTCTTAAGCTGACTTAGTAATACAAATATATTTGTACCTGTGCAAAAATAAGGTACATAGAGGCATCACTTTTAATACAGAAGTCTGAATGAAGAGATTGTTTTTTATATATAAGAACGTAATGTCTTACCACATTTTCCTAGGAATTTGTTGCAAGTGAAGGAGATGATGATCCAGAAGTTGAATTTTTAAAATCACTGTCAACCAAACAAAAACAGAAACTTCTAAGGTAAGTGTGGTACCTAGTGGAGGGGATCTGTATCGCCAATAGTTCGGACTCCATGATTGTCCCTGTAACTCTTCTATGCTATTGCAGAATTTAGTACCATCAGTACAGAAGAAAATCAGCTTAGTTTAACATACGCTTGACTACAAATGGCATTATGCAGCATGTTTTTTTTAATCCGGTTGTTTTGTTTTAATCTGGCTGTTCTAATCTAGCTGCCATGCCTTTGCACTGGGGCTCATTACCAATTTAGCTGGGATACGGAAATAATAATGATGGGCTCACTGAAGATGCTGTCAGTTGCTATTTTAAAATATTATTTTGCACTCCATTGTTTACAGTATGTTCTTCCTGGATTAAAAATTCTGTGTTCTTGTTTACTGGTTTACAATTACGCAAAGTTTGTTACCTTCTCCTGTGAGGCTAAACTGACATTGCACCCCAGGACCAAGGTTAGCCTAGCTCCACGCTGCACTCGGATCAGGGTTCACAGTTTGCTGCTCCAGCAGTGGGAGCTCCCCATGGTTTTGTAGTTCCAATAAAAAGTTAATGAGGTTTTGGTTCTTTGCTTCTATCCTACTGATTGCACGTGTCAGATGACTTACATTTTTTGTCTCTGTTAATTTGCAACGTTATCTTGAAATAACCTGAAAATGCTTAAAATTAAAAATACTAACTACTGCCTGGTAGGTCCCATACAGCCTAAATGGCCCATACAGTTAAAACGGCCTTTTTGGTTAAAGGACATTCTGTATATGGGGAGTGGGAGGAGGGGAGAAAGGTGAATGGCTAAGCAGGCACATGAGTAGGTAGGTACATGTGGTATTCGCATATATAATAAATAATTCTCTGAAAATAGGTGGCATATTTTATGTTCCTTTTAAGTAAGGAATGTGTATGTAGTTTGAGTAATTTCAAATGGTATTTTGTTTGAACTTCAGCTGGCCCAACACAATGAAATTTCAATACTTTATATTTTGAAAGTTGAAGTTCAGTAAATATTTGGGTAATTTAGATTTTACTAGTCTGAAGGGATTTTTTTTTAATACACTGAAAGTAGTTTCACTATTCAGTCACTGATTTTTTGAGAAGAATAAATACAGAAAGCAAATAAAAACTAGGTGAAAGCAGTCAAATAGCAGTGAATGCATGTGCATGATGGAATATTGTACTTAACAGCTAGAAAATGTAAATTTCTAGTTGAGACAGAAGAGGTTATTGAAAATATCCATATTATTTGCCTGGCGAACTCGGAGATGTAGGCTTTAGAGTCTCAGTTTCCATCATTAATAGAAAGTGAATGCTAATTGCGTTTTTTTCATTTTCAAAATCTCTTATAAAAATGTACAAACAAAAGCAGCAATGATTTTGCAAAGTCTCCAGAGCAGGCTGACAAGGAAAAAAAAGCACTGCTGAATGTATTTATTCCTAATTACAAGGCCAAAATTGACACATCTTACTTTTTAAAATTTAAGTGTTTTTTAAAATTAAAGAATTAAAAAATCATATTCCTCCTGTTTTGAGGGAGCAGCTGTGGATTACATGAGGATTCTTACTATGGTTAACATCAGGTTAGAAGTTTAAAAATAATACTTTGCTGAACGAGGAGAGGAATTCAACATGTTTTTATGGAAAATAGTGTATTTACTGTGTAGGTCATCACAAGTAATGAACTTTAAAAGACAATGACTTTGTAGTTTAGAATATCTTAACACGGCTGATTGCGCTACTCTTCTATTTTGAAAATAAAAGGAAGTTGGATCGTCTGGAGAAGAAAAAGAAAAAGAAAGACAGAAAGAAGAAAAAGCAGCAAAAGAAGAAAAGCAAAAGTAAACACAAGAAACATAAGATGAGATCCTCTTCCTCATCCTCCAGTGAGACTTCAGTAAGCAGCAGTGATAGCGAGACTGACAGCAGAGATAAAGCAGCACAAAAGAAGATGTATTCTAAGAAAAGAAAAAAAGACAAGTTTTCAGAGGCTAGCAGCAGCAGCGATTCAGAAGGAAAGGCAAAGACTAGGAAGGAAAAACTTTATGAAGATCTCTCCAGTAGTCACGGTAACAAGGACAAAGATGGGGAGAAGTACAGACTTTTAAAGCGAGATAGTTCTACGGAGAACAACAAATGGAGCTCCTGTGAGGGGGAAAGAAAGTCCAAAAGCAGATACCATAGCACCAACAAGAGAGAGACTGAAAGAAAGGACAGGGATAGTAGAAGCCAAAGCATGGATGAGGGGAGCAGGAGAAGCCCTTGCAGAAGTCACAGCAGTTCCAGGCAAAGGCAAGTAAGAAAAAGTCCAAGTCAAAGCCCTGGTGAAGAGCGGCACAGGAAAAATGAAACCAGAAGCCCCAGCACGGATGTGCACAGAGAGAAGAAAAAATGCAGAGAGAGCTATGGGGACAAGTGCCGTAAAGTGGAACACAGAGAAAGGAGCAGACGCAGTAGGAGCAGAAGCAGAGAGAAGAAAAAACCCAGATAGTATAGGGGACAGGTGCAAACAAGAATGTCTCTGGGTTTTGATGAATACCTTTAACAAGGGCTCAATTATGTATTGCTGTTCATTTTCCAACCTCTGTAACTAGCATTTCTTACATAAAGCCAACAGCGTCATTTCTGTAATGTTGGAATATTTGTAAATTAGGTATAAATGTTATGGTATTTTTCTTATTGTATAAATATACTTGTTGGCAAATACCTCTTGTAGACATGCAGTAATTCATAGACCTGATTTTAGGGTTTTAAAATACTTCACAGCAGCGTGTAATATTCTTGGTTTTGTCAATGATGATTTCTGTTTAGATGCAACTGTGAGGGGAAACAGAGTAATTTGGGAAGAGTCCTGGGATATGCTAAATGCTAACAAACGTTTGAGATAGTTCCGGATAAAATCACAGCTTCGGATATCAAAACATTGTATTGTAGAGGGTTTTTTTTTCATACTGAAGCATTTTTCCTAAAGTTCCCTGTAAGAGATCAATTTTATGAGTTAAAACAACAGAGAGACATAGTTCACTTAAGTGTCTAGCCAACATTTTTTGACCTCCTGCAGCGTACAGCTTGGTCAGGGCTATCTAAACATCTTGAACCCCTGTTGGTATGTGTCAGTACAATGTCAAGTTATTGTTCAATAATCTCTCAAGACATGAAAAGAATATTTACTGCCTCAACTGTTTCAGGTATTTCATTGTTTGTGGTATAAAGTTAGTGTAAATAGTCATCCTTTTGTTTTCATGAAACAAACATTTTGGTTTTTTAATGATTGTCAGTCATTTTCTGCACACATTGTTATGAAGATGAACTTCCATAATAAAATATCTTATTCTTTAAAAACAGTCAGAATTGCCTTCTTCTCCAGAGTTCTGAATCAGTAGCAGTGCACAAGGCAACACTTCACCAGGTTTTTATTGCAAAGGAAATGCTTCTCTGCCACTTCAGGGTGGCAGATGGAAGCACACTGGTTAGTGGTCAGGTGAAAAGGCATCACCGTACTCGGTATTCTGGCAAGCAACTTTCTTCCCCTCCTCACTCAGAGGGCCAATGGGACTATCTTTTATTACCGGTCCACTTCTGCTTCTTAAAACGGTCACTCAGAAGTTTTTCAGTATCACACAGAGTATAATATATAGTGGAAGTGACCTGGCTTATCTTTTAAGTGCATGTGAATGAGTTTGAAAGGGTGAGCCATTAAGGGATGTCACCTTCTTCCTTTAAATGCGCTTGCATTAGGTTGCTCCAGGCGTTCTTGCTGAAGTAGCTGGGAGTTAAAGGGCGTGCACAATTCAGTAGAGTCAGGCCCTGTGTTAATGTGTATGTGGAAGCTCTGATTTAGAAAGAACGGGAGGAGACTGCCAAAACGCCCGTATGAACAATCTAGACAAAACCTCTTGTGAAGAATTTATTATCCCTCTGTGTAAGAGAGGCCAGAGTAATGTGACAGGGCAAAAGGCATCTTCTGGTAGAACGTTTTCATGTCACGAGGATACGAGGAATAACCAGTAAGTACTGGAAGGTGCCTCTACTCCAAAGAAAGGTCTCCTGCTTGGAGGTCGGTCTGATCGTTGTGCGCGCGGCACAGGAATCTGCCAGCTGCAATGAACTGAGTTCTACCCGAAGCAGGAAGGACAGCTCGACATGTACAGTTCTAGGCATTTTTGTGGGCTCTGCGTTTTACTTGTCTGCGCGTAGTTCGCTGTACGCTATGTACATCTTGCCCTTTGGCACAGGAAAAGACTGGCACGTGGGATGGGTTCATTGTGACGGCTGGCCGTTGTGAGTGAAAATTAAAAGCAGAAGAATAATGACATTTCGGATGCATCTGTCTCAAAGACTACCTGTTGAAGAGCTTTGAAACAAAACGCCCATCCTTGCGAGACCTTTCCTGCTTTTGGTGCCGCCCTGACAGCCTTGGGGAAGGTCGGTGCAGCGTCGGAGGAGGAGGCTCCCCGCTCTCGGTACTCCCCTTCGGACAGTTCGTGCCACTTTACCGGTACGAGGCGCCGTCCTCAGCGTCCGACACGGCGGCCCTGGGGGGGGTGGGCCTCCTTCACCACCTCGGCCCTGACAGCCTTGCGCCGGGAAAAGCCGGTGGGTTCAAAACCCCGTTAGAAGAAGACGGGGAAGGGTCGCTGGGGCGACGTTTCGGCGGCTTTCCCCGCCCAAGCTGCGGGACGCCGGTGAGAGCCCTCACGGCGTCCCCTGCGGAGCAGCGCCGTCGCCCGGGGCGGCTCGGCGGGCCGCGGCCCCGCCCCGCCCCCT